TGTTTGAATTCTTGGAGATTAGAACCATGCATTATATTTTTTTTCATTAAAAATAAAGAAACAGAAGCAAGAAATAGGAATGTTAACCAACGAACCCTAAATTTTTTTAGTAGAAAAAGTAATGTGGGGGTGTGACTTGAGAAAATTTAAATTCAACGAGTAGTTTAAGTTATTGAAACTAATTGCAAAATTATACATCATGTCAAATTATTTGTCCATTGTCTCTATTCAATTATTTATATGATTATAATTTWAAAAAGTGTTAATTAATGATTTAACATTCTAATAAAATTATGTACATAAAAATATCACCGAGATTTAAATCCCTTAAACCTACCTTTGTTGTTGAAAAATAAATAAATAAATCTTTATGTTTGTATTCATGATAATTGAAACTCGGCGAAATACAAGACAATGTTGGTCATTGGGCTTTGAAATCWTAAAGGCCCACTTTGATTTTWGCAAGGCCCAGCAAGAGGTCTCTTGGGCTCTTTCAACAATAAGCAACGGTAAATCAGGTTAGTGGTTTGTAAAGGAGAGTGAAATTTATTTGAGAATTTATAGCAGACATCCTTGTTTACCATCCAATTTTAAACAATAGCCAAATAATCATTCATAATGAAAAATGTCCATTTATATATCTTTTCTTTCGGATCGTTTCGTTTGAGTTTAATTTAATATAGCATAGTCATAAGATATATGCATAGTCATATATATCAATAATACGAAAATTTTGCCATAATATATATGGTTTCCCGATCATATTTTATTTATTTAATTTTTCTTTTTTCTCTTTTGGAAAATATAGAAAAGATGGAGCATTTGCCYCAATCTCCAACATAAATAGAATAAGGGAACAAATAAGATGACGTATCATTTATTGAATCTAAAGTGAGAAATATTCTAGAATTGAAATCTCATTAGAGTTATCGTACATACACAATTCGAGAATAAAGTTACAAAATCGTTATTAGATATATATTTGATATCTTTTTATTATTTGTGGCGTAATTTATTTGATAGAAAGATTGATTAAAGATGTGAACAAAACTTCCTATCAATTGAAAATGAAGATGATAACAATGTGAGGGTCCATCAAACATAAAAATCGAATTATATTAGGATTCAAATTGAAAATATAATAAAAACAATAAAGTATTTATAATATCAATATAATACTAGTTTTTAAATTAAAAAAGGAAGACAGGACATTGAGAATGAGCATGGGAGACCATAAACATTTAAAGTTTTTTTTTTTTGAAAATATAAACATTTAAAGTTCATATTATTAAAAATTAAAGATCTCMCATTCTTACTCTATCCATTTCCATGCCCAAGCTTCAATATCAAACAACTCGTATTAATAACTCCCCACTCTTTAATATTTCTATATTATTAATTTTTAATATTATATCAGGAGATAAATATTAATTTTGTCATGAGTCAGTCATGTGATCCTAGATCTTATCCTTTGAAAATTGTGTTTGGATCTTAATTTGTTCGGATATATAGGTTGAGTCGACCCATGATTCACCTTGATTGATTTTGCAAAAGCCCAATTCGACACCGATGTAGGGCATAAAATCTACTTACTATCAGGTATAGAGTGCCATAAATTGCAGGACAATGTTTCCCAAAGTTCTTTTATAAAATGAGGGATTCATTTCTTACAAAAGTACGTAATTATACGTAATCCTTGACTAAGTTCGACTCGAAGTCATCTTATACTATATGCTAACTTTTCAGAGGATGCGTAGTCAACCACCACACCGGTGTTCAGCTCAAATCTAATGTTGATCCATTATCTCGTTCACATATTAACATATTTGAACTTAGGATCAATAATAAAGAGATATAGATGACCAAAGATTAGTCATATTTATTTTCCTTATTACCCAAAATCCGTTGAAATGGAAACAAGTTAACCTTGACTAAAAATTTATTTAAAAGAAATATTAAAAACTCACGAGTGAATCGAAGATTTCAAAAGCGACTCTTTTAAAACATGTTAATGTAACATTCAATTCAATTTAAAGGGAAAAGTAAAATATATATTTTATATTAAAAAGGAAAAAGTGATCGATTTAATAAGCAGGATGGAAGATCAATCTGTAAATTAGGATTAAAAAAATGAACAAATTTCAAATACCTTTCTATTAATTGGTCAAGTGTCGATTTTTGCGTAGTCTCCAAGCCAAACTCACGATTTTTTTTTAATGCTAAAAACGACGTGTAGTTTTAATTATTGTTATTATTATTATTTTGGTAAAACGAGAAAAATCAGAGACGTCGGTGCCTTAGATTCGCGTTGTTCTTTGAAATTCAGTCAGAACCGCCACGAGTTGGGTGGGGGATCCTCTTCCGTTGGATTATTTTAATGGCTCAGATTTAATTATATTAATTCTTTTAGTTTATTTCTTTTTTTATATTTTCAAAATAATAATAATAAAATAAGTTGAACGATGTCGTTAGTCGTGTCATGCAACTTCTTAGAAAGAACCTACGCCATGTTCAAAGTAGAAGGACCATGTCACGACCCACAAGTCCTCTTATTATATTAATCTTACTTTTCATTTTATTTATTCTTTTTAACAAGCTATAATAATTTAATGAAGAAAGAAAAAAAGATGCCCACACAAAAGTGTCTCTTGATGTTTTAAATATTTAATGAGATGGTTTACTGTTCTCAGACACACCCATAACGTGTATGGTCTTTGGATAGGATTGACTACATCTACGAGTTGAGCCATAATGTATGTTATATTAAAATGATCTTGATTATGGATCAATGACTTTTCAAGCAATGATTTGGTCTGTTGAGTAAAAATTTGTTCATTAATTTTAGGAGATTAATATATAAATATATAGTTATGGTTCTCAATATATAGCCTCACACTTCTCTATGGAGGGAATCATTCGTATTTAATCCGGGTTGCATAATTGAAAAAAACCACAAATTATAACTTCTCCTAAATCAGGATCCATATATGTAATGATTCAAGGTAATTGATGGTTAATTCAAAATGTTTTTTGATTGTTATTATTGAGTTATATGACTCTTAATATAAATTTCTTTAATTTTCCCAACTATATATATATATGTATGTTAAATTGTTATGAATTAAGAGAGGGCAATTGCCCCCACCAAATTAAAAATAATAATAAATTTTGGAAAATAAAACTATTGTCAAACTTTTTTTTGTCCTTTCATAGCAAGAAATAACACAAGGACACGTACTTAGGGATGCTTTATGGATATTATTTATCACTTAAATGTCACTTCTAGGAACGCTACATACACTTTACTTGGACAGAAGAACTATTAATTATAAACATACTTTTCTACAAAAAAAACAAAAAATAATTATAAATAATAATAAACAAACTTAAGAAAATAATGTTTATTTAATTAGTTGTGGTAATATAAAAATATAAATCTTGAGAACAATTAAATTAATATGGAGATGAGTGACGTTACGTACTTCCAATCAAATTATTTGTCATTAAAGAAAAACAGAGTGAATTGTAGATATAGCAAAAATTTAATAATTAATTGTAAATATAACATTAAAAACAAAAACAGAAATCTCACCCGAATAAAAATAAAAAAATAATAAATTATACCCATTACATTGATATTAGAAACCTCACCCGAATAAATATTTAAATTATACTCTATTACATTGATATACTCATTGRTACTTTATACTAACAATATTAGTTATATACCAATATACTCAATATCAAATATACCAATATATCAGTAATATATTTTATATTATGTATATCAATTAATATACTTGATATATTAACAARTAAAACCTTTGAACGTTACTTACACAAAACATCTAAAAAAATATTCAAAACTAGAATGATTATATGTCACTATGAAATGTATTATTTATATATTTAATGGGAGTAATATTCTTCCTAATATGAATATAAATTATATATTAGTGATTGATATTTCGTATATTCATATATTTTGTGTATCATTATGTAATGGATACACCTGGAGATGGCAAAAGAACCCACGAGACTCGATCCCCATGGGTACCCACTTCGATCGAGTTGAGGAATCCCCGATTTGACTGGGATCCTAATCGGGTCCCCGATGGGATGGGGTGAGGACTATATTTTAATACTTTTTATATTTTGTATGTATAATAATATTAATATATATAAATTTTTAGAAATACTTTTATTATTTTTTAAAAAGTCCAAGCCCAACCGCTTATTTATCCACTTTTCTTCCCTTATTATATAAAAAATAAATTTAAACAAATAAAAAATTAAAAGAAAAAAGAAAATATACATATTTTTAACAGGGACGGGTTCTTTGGGGAATCTCGCCCCGTCCCCGCTCCAAAAAGTTTGAAGACGGGGATGGGGATTGAAAAAAAATCTCCATGGCGAGAATGATGGTCCGATCTCGTCCCACCCTATTGCCATCCCTAGGATACACCCAGATAACAGGGAAATAAATGTATATGTATAGAATTTTAATTTTTGTAACGAAAGAATCTATTTAAGAATTAATGGAAATTTTTATATAGATTAGGCAGGGAAAAAATAATTTACGGAAACAGACAAGGGCGCCACGTGTCATCACTTCGCTGGCTGTCTCCTATAATCTCCTCTAATCACTCATATGAGATCCCAAGCGGGCCCCACCGTGTAACAACACTTCTCGCTTCCCCATGGGCCGGGTCCCACCCGAAAAAAAAACTACTCCTTTAACTTTTCAAACGAGATGGCGCGTGGGATGCACATGCCACCCGGCTCCAAAAACCCGGGCCCGCATCCGCTTGGTCGGTTCGGGTCATGCCACCGCATGGAGACCAATACACCCCCGATCTCCATGTCGACACGTGGCAGACATCCCGGTTGATGTCACAATCCGACGGTCAAGATCTAACTATAGGAGAAACAATAAAAAAATAATTTTAAAGTTAAATAATATCTTAAAATTTGACGAGAGGGTGGATCTGCCAGTTTATTTAAGGCGTAGAGAGGACTGAGGAGCCTCAGTCAGCAAACCCGTTTTTGGATTTTTGAATTCCCACTCTTAAATCTCAAATCTTGAGACCTTTTTTTTTTAATTTTATTCTTGAAGTGGAAAAATGGGCGTTTTGGATCATTTATCAGACTATTTCGATTGCTCTTCTGGCCACTCCAAGCACAAGAAACGCAAGCAATTGCAGGTAAAATCCCAAACAAGTAGTTTTAATTTGTGATGATGGGTTTGTTTCTTCTTCTGTTTTCTGCAATTTTTCTTCAAAAAGTTTCGAACTTGGACAAAACCCACAAAATCAAAGTTTTTTACTTTAGCTAATTAAAGTGAAAAGAAGAAAAAAAAAAACATTGAAATTGAAACCAACTTTGTACGCTGTCTGAAACAGAAACAGTATGCAGTAGTAGTTGTAGACATAGATTCTGTGGTTCCAATATTAACCATTAAAGTTTCTGCCTTAATTTGCTTTTACTTCTCCTTCTCAGCTTCAATTTTTCTTCAATGCTTGTGCTGAATTTGAGTTTTTTCACAATGTTAGAGTTCAATTTAAGGTCAAATTTGAGTTACCCACCAAGTAAAAATTGAACTTTTTTTCGAAATCATTAGAACCAAATTGAAAAATTGAAGGGATTTTAAAGCTTGAAAATGGTGGCAATGGCAGACGGTGGAAGTGAAGGTGAGAATTGACTGTGAAGGATGCGAGAGGAAAGTGAAGAGAGCTGTGGAGGGGATGAAGGGGGTGAAACAGGTGGACGTTGATCGGAAAGCCAACAAGGTCACCGTCGTCGGCTACGTGGAGCCGTCGAAGGTGGTGGCGCGTGTGGCTCACCGGACCGGTAAAAAGGCCGAGCTCTGGCCCTACGTGCCATACGACGTCGTCGCGCACCCCTACGCGCCCGGAGTGTACGACAAGAAGGCGCCCGCTGGCTACGTACGGAAGGCCGACGACCCCAACGTGTACCAGCTCGCACGTGCCAGCTCCACCGAAGTCCGTTACACCACGGCGTTTAGTGACGAGAACCCCGCGGCCTGCGCTGTCATGTAACGGAGTGTTGCCGTTTTTGTTGTAAATGCGCTGTAAAAATAAAGCATTATGTTTTTTTTTGGTCGATTTTCTGTGTGGCTTTTTTTCTATTTTTGATAGTTATATTAATTTGTATTAATTGGAATATTTTCTATTTTTAGTCAAAAGTATTATTATTGTTTGTGGGTGTCATGTCCTTGGTTGGGGCTTGCTTTTCCAATCAATCATCATGTAGACTCCCGACTTTTTGGTAGTGGTTCGTCTTTGAAATTTGTTTTAATTTATATGTTCAATTTTGTTATTATAGTTTATAAAATGTGCATTAATTTAAATTTTCCAACATAATACATGGATGGTTCCTGAGGAATTATGTTGAAAATTTAAGACTTTATAGGATTAATTGAAATAAAGCTCATTCTATACATACTAAATTGAAATGTTTGAAGTGCTAGAAATTAGAGTGAAATTAAGCTAAAATCATATGAATTTAAAATTATTTAATCTATAATTTAAATACTACCCTTGACCTGTACCCTTGACTTGTTCATTATGTGTATAACTATATTGAATCAAAATAAAATTTAAAATTTTAGTTAAATTATAATTTTGGTCCTTGGCCTTCAGTTTAGTAGATCTACAAACTTTAAAAGTATTTAATAATTTATTAAACTTTCAATATTATGTGACTAATAAATCTTTGAATTTTAAAATTGTTTAAAATATTCCTGACAGTCTTAATCATTTTTTCGATTATATATATATATATATTATTTATTTATTTATTCGGTGTCTTAATTTTCAATTTTATCTCTAATCATCTTGGATCAATGAGACATTTTTTAAAGTTTTAGGGCCTTATTAATCATACAATGGAAGTTCATGGACATACTACATACATTTTTTTAAAGCTCAAAGACTTTATCATACATAATTCTTAATTCTCATAGTTCTGATTTCTGGGACTAAAATCATAATAGAAACATAGTTCATATTATGATTGAATCTCCATAAAGAATCTTTTAATTAATTCTATAATTATCAACAAATGTGGCTAATATAATTAACTCTATAATTATCAACAAATGTGGCTAATATATTGACAGCCAATGTCTCAACTAATTGCCCAAAATGACCCGTCAATTTTTTTCTGATTAGGACTTCACCGCTCCTCATGCCGACAATGGGGACCATACATTAATGGATTACTCTCATTATTTATTAATTAAATTTGATTTTATGTTTATTGCTTGGAAAAATAATAATCAATCGATTCTATTTGATTTTTAGAAATAGTATATGATTTGATTTCTTGCGACAAGGTGATTTTTTTTAGATTAATATTTTTTTCAATCCCATTGCTACATTTATTGTATTAAAAAAAGTTAGAGATTTTGAAGCTAAGTTACTTGCTTTTAGTAATTATTTTACCTTTTTTTTTAATGTAACTAACGTGTGAGAGGTTGATGATTTGAATTCACAATTTTGGGTCGGAGATGAGTTCCTTAACTAGTTGAGTTAAATTCGTGTTGGCTAATTTTTTCTAAGGTGATGTTAAATCTAAATATAAGTTTGAATACTTTGGTATCCCTAGTATTTTTGATTTTGTTTATTTTGATCTATGTATTTTCAACTTTAGTTTATTTTAGTTATCGTACTTTTAAAATGTCTATTTTAGTATGTGTTTTTTAAAAGTGAATATTTTGATTTATTTATTTTTATTTTTATAATTTTAACATGATAYTTCACTCGTTAAATTTTTTGAGATCTAGCCATAAATTTGGATTAAAARGTTCCTATAATGTATAAAATATGTGTTAAAAATTTACAAATAGAAACTAAAATTGGTTATTTTTCAAAATGGAGATTTTAAAAGTACAATGACTAAAATGAATAAAAGTTGAATAAAAGGAGTATATGTCAATTACCGTTCAACTATACTCTAAAAAATTAAAAAAAAAAAGAAAAAAAAAAAGAAAGGCATTTTGAAAAAGATGCAAATGGAAAAAAAAAAAAATCCTCTCTATATGTAACATGAAAGGTTCATTGTTTTTTTGCTATATTAAAGTTGAAACCATTGCTATTATTGAGTTTGCACATTACCTAGTAATCTAATAGCTTTGATGAATACAAAATAATAATAATAAATCAATAATAAATTTTAGATTATAGTTGAAGATAAATTTCATAAACCTGCATTTCTCTTTCATCTACCTATTTTCAAGTCAACTAAAAAAAATCTGAAAGATATTCGAAAAGAATAAAAATTAAGTGTAATTATGACTACCAACAAATTATTTAATAGATTAATTGTTGATGTATACAATAATTATCAAATTTTTTTCCCACATGTTCAATGGTTTTGGCCATTCAAGTTGTTAAACATCTTGTAATCATATTTAGTTGACTCTATATAATGTTAAAATCTTCATATTAGCTTTATGTGTACTTGGTTAGATATTATCAATACTTCATGTTTTAAAATTAATAATATCGAGTTCGATAATAAATTGACTTAGATTTAATTTATTTTATACAAGTTATCTGTATCATTTTTGTTATTTATGAAATTTTATCTATTTAATGAAAGTACAGAGATAAAAATAATATTTTAAATTAATTTTTATCTATTTGATGAGAGTAGAGAAATAAGAATAAAATTTTTAGTAGTCGTAAATAAATATACATATGAAAAATATAAGGATAAAAATGTAGCCTAACTTACATAAAAATATTTTACAAAAATAGAATCTAACAAAAAATAAAATAAAATACATACAATACGCATATTAGTGATTACAGTTAATCATAAATTATATTTATGTGTAAGGATTATTACAGTCAACAGATCTATAAAAGTTGGTATATCAATTGTTACGATTAATTAATGTGTATGTTTTTTTTTTGTTGGGTTTAATATGTAGAACGGGGATCAAAACCTCTCATTTCTTTTTATCAAGAATATATACTTTAAATTATATTTAGGTTGACAAATTTTTTTTAGTATCTATGTTCGTTTTGGCATATCTAGATTGACAATTAAAAATAGTACAATATTTACAATTTATTTTGAAAAAATATGATATATTTACAATTACTTGTATTCATATACATTTCTCTAAATAGTTGAAAAAAATATTTAAATTTCATTGGTCTCTAAATTTTTAAAATGGGACTATTTTTGTTCCTCTCATTTTAAAATGTTAATTTAGGTTTTTAACTCTTAGAAAAAACAAGGTTAATATTCTTTCGAAAGATCATATAATTTTAAAAAATAATCATTTATTTCTTTGTTATAATTTTACTTCTTAATATCTGCTATATACTAAAAAATACATTTTCCATTTGTTAAAAACAAAATGTAGATAAAAATTCAAATAATTATTTTTTTTAAGAGTTCAGATTTTTTTTTAAGTTTCAAAAATTAAAATAGATAAGGTAAAAAAAAAAAATAGACATTTTTAAAAGTTAATTATTAAGTGGGCTGGGCTTGGTAATCTCGGCACCGGCCCAAAGTTTCAAATCCGACGATCTTTAAAACGCGCGCCAGTTTCTTCGAAGCCCACGAATTTTAGCGGGAAAAGGGTTTCTCGAAGCTCAACTGGAGTCGCAGCCATGGCGGGAGAAGCAGATGGCGGTGTCGATGAGGTGGTGGAGGAGTTCGCTATCTGGAAGAAGAATTCTCCCTACTTATACGATCTTATCATTTCCCACTCACTGGAATGGCCGTCTCTCACCGTCGATTGGGTTCCGTCGGCCCCATTTCCTCACCAGGCAAACCCCTCTCTCGCCGTCCACAAACTCGTCCTTGGAACCCACACATCGGAGGACGTACCAAATTTTCTCGTGGTGGCCGATGCTATTTTACCCATCAAAGCATCCGAAACCAGAATCGACGCTACCGGGGAAAACCCCATTATCCCTAAGGTTAGGTGATGAATTGTTACTTCGTGCCTGCTAGGTGTTTGATGAAATTACTTGCTGAAAACTTGTGGTGTTTTGTGTTTTGGTTTTGGTAGATAGAGATAACCCAGAGAATACGAGTCGATGGGGAGGTAAACAGAGCTCGGTGCATGCCGCAGAACCCAGAAATTTTTGGTGCAAAAACGAGTGGCTGCGAGGTGTATGTTTTTAATTGTAGTAAACAGGGGGCGAAGGCTCAGGGAGCTGAGTGCGAGCCTGATTTGAGATTGAGGGGTCATGATAAAGAGGGTTATGGGTTGTCTTGGAGCCCGYTTAAGGAGGGTTACCTCTTAAGTGGCTCACATGATCAGAAAATCTGTTTGTGGGATGTGTCTTCCATGGCTGAGAAGAACGTGCTTGATGCTATACACATTTATGAGGTAAATTTTGCGTACTGATTTGCTGTTTCTTGTTYGGGGGAACGGTCTTGTGATTTATGGTACTCGTGATTGCTGTTTTTCAGGCTCATGAAAGTGTGGTCGGCGATGTKTCATGGCATTTGAAGAATGAGAACTTGTTTGGATCTGTAGGTGATGATTGCCAGTTGGTGATATGGGATTTGCGCACAAACCAAGCTGTGGATTCTGTCCGAGCTCACGAGGAGGAGGTAATGCAATTCCGAACCTTTTGAGTTTTGATAACATGGCGCAAGTGACTCTTTTACTCGCTTACAATTTATCTCGAGACACATGTTTTGAAAATGAACTGTAGAAGAAGTACTTTGTAGGGCTGGGCTGGTTGAAGTAGAGGTTGGATTGACCTAATGTCGAAAACATAAGTGAGTTCTACTTATCTATTAATGCAATAGAATTATGGAAATAGACCACTAAAAATAACCCACATCAAATCCATAAAAAAACTAGTACTTACCGGTAGGTGTTTAAGCAACAATTGTTCAATATAGAAAGTTGGGAGTACCTAAAAAGTTGGGTGAAAGAATCTTGAGGGTAGTAATGAAAGAGAGAGACGGTGGGAGAATACTGATGGGGGAGGGTAGCAATTCAAGGGGAAAATGAAAGGGTGGGTTGATTAAAGAAAAACATTTTACTCACGGTGATTGGTCGGAGGGAGGGTATGCACATGCTTCTACCACACCTTCCGGCCGACCAACATTACTTTGATTGATTTCTGTTGGTCTTTTATTTTCTGATTTTAATTCCTACTTCTTTGACCTGGTGAAACATTTCTTCCCTCTTTTCCTTTCATTAGTTTCCGAGTTAGTAGAAGTGCATATTATATAGACTAGACACGTAGATTCATCTTTTTATTTGCATAAACCACAGATGAGTTTCTTAAACGTGGCTAGGATAGGATGTGATAATCAAACAGCTAACTGAAGAGTGGCAGTTTGGGTAGCTAACTTGGCCACAGAATCAGTGATTATGGTTAAGATTTTACAGCTTGAGTTAGAAATTAGAATCATATCTCACAGGAACACCACAGCTCCTTTCCCTAGTTTGTATTCTACTGACAAACCCTCTTCCACAAATTGCAGGTGAACTATGTATCTTTCAACCCATATAACGAATGGATACTGGCAACAGCATCATCCGACACCACCGTGGGCCTATTCGATCTACGAAAGCTTGCCGAGCCACTCCACGTTCTTAGCAGCCACACGTATGTGTTTACATATCACCATCAGAAGCATCAGTCTTACTCTTAATATCTACTCAAGCAAGAAAAGAAACTGTGATGCTGATATCTTTCTGAATGTTTCTTGTGTCATAAATGTGGAGTATTGTGTTTGATCTGGAATCCTTGGTGGTGACAGGGAGGGAGTGTATCAGGTGGAATGGGATCCTAATCATGAAACAGTGCTGGCATCCTCCGGTGACGACCGAAGGCTGATGGTGTGGGAACTCAAGAGCATAGGAAACGAGCAGGATGGAGACGCGGAAGAYGGGCCTCCAGAGCTGCTGTTTTCCCATGGAGGTCACAAGGCTAAAATATCAGACTTCAGCTGGAACAGGGAGGAGCCATGGGTGATCTCAAGTGTAGCTGAAGATAACTCGGTTCAGGTCTGGCAAATGGCCAAAAGCATTTACCGATGATGGTATCTGCAAAACCCAGAGGACAAATCGGGTGAGAACTGAGAACCATTGTTGAACTTAGCTAATTTTAAGGTTTTTTTTTTCCAGATCTTATGTTATTATATATTAGGTGTTGTCTTGTTGTGTGTTATGTTTGTGTTGCTGTTCTTGAAAGGATTTCTAAAACCACTAACACAGCACCGCATTTACTATTCAACATGCTAATTTTCCATCACTATTTTGAGCCATACTTAGAATAGAAATTATTATTGTTCCATCATCTGATTTTTAAAGTTKATAAAGTATTGTTGAAATCGTTAGGTAAAGTATGATAAATAAGTTTATTTCTTTTCAAATTTTTGCTTTCTTCTACGCCTTTTTTCTTTACTATCTTATCAACGTACCTTTCTCTCTAATTTTTCTTCTTATAAACTTATATTCCTCTAACGTCTGTCACTTTTTCTTTTTCTAAATTATTATTTTCTTTTTAACATTTCTCTCTCACTAATTTTTCCCCCTCAGTTTTTCCTTCCGTCTCTAACTTGCCTTCCTTTATATATACTAGTGTATTACCACGTGCAATGCACGTACAAATTTTTTTTAATTATAAGGTAGCTTAAATTTTATATAATTTCACGTAAAATATTTTAAGTATAATTATTTTTAAAAATAATTAAGATTAATTTTTATATATATTTATTATTATTGACAGCTAATTACTAATAATAAAATGTACTATTTATAATTATTTTTTAAATATACTATTTATTAATTGTTAATGATATATTTTGTAAATAAATTAAAAGTAAAGGAAAAAATTATATATTAATAAAAAAGTAAATRGATATTTTAATATTTTTATTTTTAAATTATTTCAACCTGGGTCCTTTATTTTATTTTTTTAATATTTTGTTTGTTTATTAAATATTTGTTTAGAGCTGACATTTTGTTATATATGTTGAATTTTTTAATTCAATATAAATTATTTTATTGATTTAATTTTATATTATAATTAAAATTATTAAAAAAAATTCTCCAAATTATATTATTAGAAAATAAAATGACCAAAAGTTTTATATTCCACCTTTTAAGATTCTATACAAATTATTGTTTATAATTAATTTATTAATTAAACATTTTTTTTATGTATTGACTTCTATGATTGTTTTTTTTTCAACAATAAGAACATGAGCTTGTAATTATCTATATTTTAAACAAATATTCTAAATAAAATTGCTCAAAAAAGAAACATTCCAAATAAAAAAAGTACACTAAACAATAAAAAAATATTAGTAACAAAAAGAAAAATCCAAATCCTATACTAAATAAAATTGCTAAAAAAAAGAAACATTCCAAATAAAAAACACACTAATTAGAAAAATAACAATAGTAACAAAAAAAAATCCAAATACTTACTATACACTCATGTTTTAGAGTAAATATGCTCATTCTTGAAGATTGCTTGACATATACTATTATTCAACTTTGTAAAATTGTGGAATGGTAATGTCACAAACCTAGTATTCGAGATATGTAGATTCAACATATGTCTCCCTTGCAACTTGATGAATATGTCACAAATATCTCGAGATGTTTTCATGATTGAATCATCTTTGAGAGATGTTTGAAGGAACTAAGAATAAAAAAGTATTGAGACTTGTGAAAAACATGTAGAAGAAACCATAGTAGTAGAGGATAAAACGTTACAAAAGCTTTTCAAATTTTAAAACTCTTGAAATTCTAGTATTAATTTTAGTTAAAGAAAAAATTAATTTTATGTTGTTGGAAAACTTTTTGCATTCCAACGTTTTATATTCCATGCATTTATAGTATGAATAATTAATAATTAATTTAATATTTGTAATAATATATTAATAGTATAATTTGTAATTTGTAAATTTAGTAAAGGGCAAAAGTGTCCAAAAATGTTTTTCCTACGTCCTACTTTTTTAATATAGTATAGATATTTTTCTCTATCCAACTTATCCTACGTCCTACCTTTTTAATATAGTATAGATATTTTTCTCTATCCAACTTATCTTTCTCTGTAACTCAYTCTCTCCAAATATTTTTTTTTCCTTTCTTTGACTATATAGTTTTTAAAAATTGATGTTTATACTTATAAAATAAAAACAATAGTTTTTAGATTTTATAATTAAAAGATTAGATCTTTGCTGGATGATTATTGATGGTGGATGAGAAAGTCAATATTGCCTATTTTTGTAAAACTAAAAAAGAAAAAAAAATACTTTTTTTTTGTTTAAAAATTATTTTGATTTTTGTATCCCAGTGTATTTTGATTCATGTAATATTTTCAAAATGTTCATTTTGGTTCTTATACCTTAAAAATAAAGGATTAAGAAAAAAGTGACCATGATCCCTTCATTTGTATGATCTCGAGATCCATAAATTTTTTAAGATGTAGTTATAACTTTATATTAAATTTGTTTTGTATATAATTTATGTGAAAATATTGTAAATAAAGACCAAAATGATCCATTTTTAAAAGTAAAGGATTAAAATAGTCGTTTCACTAATACAAAGRTTAAAATGAAGGTAAAAAGCATGAGAATTTGAAAGTTTAAAGTTTAAAATCAACAAATTAAAAGTAAAAAATCAAAAGAGTATTTAAACAGTATTTAAAAAAAAAGGAATAYTAGTTATCAATCATGTTTAATTATTTTTTAAAAAATAAACAGGAATTAAAAAACAAAAAACAGACCATKWAAAAAAGAATTCTTAAATTGCTTATTAGAAACTGCAATAAAATAAATGGAGAACAAAGCAAAGAAACTAGGACGCGCTGCCTTTTGTTTGGTTTCATAGATAAAAAGGCCATTCACTCATAACCCCCTACTACTTCCACTAATTACAACTCCGCTAAACTAATTCTCATCATTCAAAATGTGTCTACAACCCGGAGTGCTACATATGGAAAACGCCTCGCCATAT